TGATATACACCACAAACTGGACACTTTGATATACACCACAAACTGGACACTTTGATATACACCACAAACTGAAAACTTACTTTGTTATACACCACAAACTGGACACTTTGATATACACCTCAAACTGGACACTTTGATATACACCACAAACTGGACACTTTGTTATACACCACAAACTGGACACTTTGTTATACACCACAAACTGGACACTTTGATATACACCACAAACTGGACACTTTGATATACACCACAAACTGGACACTATACACCACAAACTGGACACTTTGTTATACACCACAAACTGGACACAAACTGGACACTTTGATATACACCACAAACTGGATACACCACAAACTGGACACTTTGATTATACACCACAAACTGGACAACTGGACACTTTGTTACACCACACCACAAACTGGACACTTTGTTACACCACAAACTGGACACTTTGTTATACAAAACTGGACACTTTGATATACACCACAAACTGGACACTTTGATATACACCACAAACTGGACACTTTGATATACACCACAAACTGGACACTTCGTTATACACCACAAACTGGACACTTTGTTATACACCACAAACTGGACACTTTGATATACACCACAAACTGGACACTTTGATATACACCACAAACTGGACACTTTGATATACACCACAAACTGGACACTTTGATATACACCACAAACTGGACACTTTGTTATACACCACAAACTGGACACTTTGATATACACCACAAACTGGACACTTTGATATACACCACAAACTGGACACTTTGATATACACCACAAACTGGACATTTCGTTATACACCACAAACTGGACACTGTTATACATCACAAACTTGACACTTTGATATACACCACAAACTGGACACTTTGATATACACCACAAACTGGACACTTTGATATACACCACAAACTGGACACTTTGATATACACCACAAACTGGACACTTTGATATACACCACAAACTGGACACTTTGATATACACCACAAACTGGACACTTTGATATACACCACAAACTGGACACTTTGATATACACCACAAACTGGACACTTTGATATACACCACAAACTGGACACTTTGATATACACCACAAACTGGACACTTTGATATACACCATACACTTTGATATACACAAACTGGACACTTTGTTATACACCACAAACTGGACACTTACACCACAAACTTGTTATACACCACAAACTGGACACTTTGTTATACACCACAAACTGGACACTTTGTTATACACCACAAACTGGACACTTTGTTATACACCACAAACTGGACACTTTGTTATACACCACAAACTGGACACTTTGTTATACGCCACAAACTGGACACTTTGTTATACACCACAAACTGGACACTTTGTTATACACCACAAACTAGACACTTTGTTATACGCCACAAACTGGACACTTTGTTATGCACCACAAACTGGACACTTTGTTATACACCACAAACTGGACACTTTGTTATACATCACAAACTGGACACTTTGTTAGACACCACAAACTGGACACTTTGATATACACCACAAACTCGACACTTTGTTATACACCACAAACTGGACACTTTGTTATACACCACAAACTGGACACTTTGTTATACATCACAAACTGGACACTTTGATATACATCACAAACTGGACAGTTTGATATACACCACAAACTGGACACTTTGTTTTACACCTCAAACTGGACACTTTGTTTTACACCTCAAACTGGACACTTTGATATACACCACAAACTGGACACTTCGTTATACACCACAAACTGGACACTTCGTTATACATCACAAACTGGACACTTTGATATACATCACAAACTGGACACTTTGATATACACCACAAACTGGACACTTTGATATACACCACAAACTGGACACTTTGATATACACCACAAACTGGACACTTTGTTATACACCACAAACTGGACACTTTGATATACATCACAAACTGGACACTTTGTTATACACCACAAACTGGACACTTCGTTATACACCACAAACTGGACACTTTGATATACACCACAAACGGGACACTTTGATATACACCACAAACTGGACACTTTGTTATAACACAAACTGGACACTTCGTTATACACCACAAACTGGACACTTTGTTATACACCACAAACTTGACACTTTGTTATACACCACAAACTGGACACTGTTATACACCACAAACTGGACACTTTGTTATACACCACAAACTGGACACTTTGTTATACACCACAAACTGGACATTTTTTATACACCACAAACTGGACACTTTTTTATACACCACAAACCGAATGTTTTCATCACATGTACGTCTATCGTTGTAGAAATGAATGTAACTGTTTAATTACAAAAGACAGCTTTTTTATCCAGTGGTTTAAACGTGATGTGATAAAGCTGTTCAAAATTCCATTGTCTTTCAATATCTTATACTTTATTGCATTTAATTTGAACTGAAGATCAGATACGTTGTTACACTAGTATTACTCATCGATGTAAATATCTATGTGGCTTCAGATATTGACCTCGTTTTCGACATGTCTCATTATGAGGTCACAGTAATCTTCATTGTTTGGTCATGATGTCCTCTTAAAATAGAAATGATTAAAACTGAGGTGTAAAACACCAGTTGCAGTCGTGTACATAACATTTAAAATGCAGATATATGGAAAGAAGTTTAAAATATCTTGTCTGACACTGTATGAAACACGTACTGAGGTTTACAAGCTTCTTACTAAACCATCAGAGAGATAACACACAATCATCGATACCTGTCCCATTACTTGTGTACATTAAATATATAAGGTGTATAACGCTACAGATTAGAATTTCAATACGTTGTAACACGGTTCTTCAAAGTATTAATATTTAGCCAACCAATACTGTTTCAAATTCCAGTGCTAATACCTTGTGTTACGGTAACATTATAAACGACAAATATAGGTAATTTATGTCTATCATCCTAGGTAATTAAACGATTTTTAATGCCGTTTAATTACTTAACAAAAATCGACGACATTTATGCAAATGAAAAAGTTAAAGTATGTGTTCCTTATCCATTTTTTCAAAGACATCGCAACTATAACCACAGACGACCTAAAATAGACTACCACTGTATATATACTGGTCATCGGACATTAACAGACCGTGTACCACTGTATATATACTGGTCATCAGACATTAACAGACCGTGTACCACTGTATATATACTGGTCATCAGACATTAACAGACCGTGTACCACTGTATATATACTGGTCATCAGACATTAACAGACCGTGTACCACTGTATATATATCTGCAGACCGTGTATGTATATATACATTAACAGTATTGTATATATACTGGTCATCAGACATATGTACCACTGTATATATACTGGTCATCAGACATTAACAGACTGTGTACCACTGTATATATACTGGTCATCAGACATTAACAGACTGTGTACCACTGTATATATACTGGTCATCAGACATTAACAGACCGTGTACCACTGTATATATACTGGTCATCAGACATTAACAGACCGTGTACCACTGTATATATACTGGTCATCAGACATTAACAGACTGTGTACGACTGATCTAACGCTTTAATTTCTTTCTAAATATCACTTATGTAATATATCCCTAAGATATGATCTTTCCCTGTCAGAGATTGATTGATGTCTTAATTGATTTTAGCAAAATGGGTTTCTTTCTTTTATTTTCTCCTCCACATTTTATCTTTCAAACATTCAGATTTCAAATATCACCAAGGTAATCAAACATTAAATCTTGTCTGTCTCGTTTCCTGAAATATTCTTTAGAAATGAAAAAAAATTAACTAAGATCCTGTATTTCTGACTAATATGAACGGAATAATGTATATTATCTTCATAATGTCAGATTTTTTCTCATCACAGAGCTAATTAATTATTATGAAACCATGTTTATGTTATGGGTACTTAACCCTACTATAGATCCATGTGTAAAGGTTCAGTGACGACGAGAAAAAAGTCTGATCTTGTTAGGTATACGGCAACAGGTTTTACTTGTGTCACACCGTGACGATAGTCCAATGATTTACTATGATAAATCGACTCATACACAAACGATTTCCCGTTGTTGTAATTTTATATGAAAACTTCAAGTCAAGCCCAAAGATACAAGTTTGCAGTCAATAGAAAATAACATTTCGGTTTAATGTAGCATACTCCTAAACGCGACACGCAACCAACAATTAAAATGTAATAATGATTGCATATGATAGCTTTAAATCAAGCCGAAAGATAAAAGTTCGTACTCAATAAAAAATTAATGTTTCAGTTCAACGTGCTCTTATACGCGGGTGCAACCGAATATTGAAATAATAAGAAAATGTCAAATTTTATATATAATTTCATTGGAATCTATAATACAACTAACCGTGAAATACCTTGTATGCATGTCGTCAGTATGACTGCCGAAGAGCCACGCTATGACAAAACGTCACTAAGTTCACACGCAGAAATTTTATAACAAAATAGTGGCGAGTTTAGCATTACGTCAGGGGAGTAATGGCGGTACCTACGGGCTCGAGAAAGTCACCTGTTGGCAGAATTACACTTACGTTTATCACGAGAGAATATTTATATATTCTGCCCGCAATGTTCTAACACAAAAACGTAATTTGTCCCCGGTTTAAACCACCGTAAGATAAACAGGAATATCAAAACTGAATTAAACTTAACATAATGCTGTCAGATTTGAAGGTCGTACTTCGTCAGCGCAAATTAACAATGAAGATGAAGAGAAATATGATTATAGTCCGGAGCTAGAAGGGCCACTGTCCACCCCCCTCCCCCTTCCCCTCCACAAACCCCCGAACCGATATTTTTCTGAAGCCCCATGACGTCCTGATCACGAAAATATATGTTAACATTGCGTCATCAAGATGGCCGTCATAATGAAATTTACCCAAAACTTTATTAAAGTTTTTAATTAGTGTTGCATGCATTTTACAGATGTAACAGAACCACCAGTTGATCCAGTTGATGTAGCCATTGTAGAAACCAGGGACAACACAACACCTGACAGAATGACAATCACCATGCCCTACAATCTCAACATGGGCATAGAATTGATGCAAAGTGAAAAACCTGTTAGTCTATCTTTAAAACTGGTTGATAATAAGAACGAACTTCGCGATGTATACGTGACTAGAATGAATAAGGATGGAAAAAAGATTCTACAGAAAGTAAACATTCCTATCCATAAAGTAAGTTATCATCATCATCATCATCATCATCATCATCATCATCATCATCATCATCATCATCTAGTCCTCCTCCACTTCCTTCTCATTATCATCATCTAGTCCTCCTCCTCCTCCTCCTCCTCCTCCTCATCATCATCATCATTATCTAGTCCTCCTCCTCCTCCTCCTCCTCCTCCTCATCATCATCTAGTCCTCCTCCTCCTCCTCATCATCATCTAGTCCTCCTCCACCTCCTTCTCCTCCTCCTCATCATCATCATCATCTAGTCCTCCTCCTCCTCCTCATCATCATCATCTAGTCCTCCTCCACCTCCTTCTCCTTCTCCTCCTCATTATCATCATCTAGTCCTCCTCCTCCTCCTCCTCCTCATCATCATCACCATCATCATCATCTAGTCCTCCTCCACCTCCTTCTCCTCCTCCTCCTCATTATCATCATCTAGTCCTCCTCCACCTCCTTCTCCTCCTCCTCCTCATTATCATCATCTAGTCCTCCTCCTCCTCCTCCTCCTCCTCCTCCTCCTCATCATCATCATCATCATCATCTAGTCCTCCTCCACCTCCTTCTCCTCCTCCTCCTCATTATCATCATCTAGTCCTCCTCCTCTTCCTCCTCCTCCTCATCATCTAGTCCTCCTCCACCTCCTCCTCCTCCTCCTCCTCCTCCTCCTCCTCATCATCATCATCATCAGCAGCAGAAGCGTCGTCGTCATCATTAGATATATTCTATAGTTATGCTACTCTCTGTTATTACGTTTTGCTGTTGTATTTGGATTTACCTGAGATTTTCTGCTGGCGGTAAATTATTTCCTGTGTAACAGTCTATAAATGTCGATATATATTTAAAATTGTTTCTGTTCCTGCTACTGTAATCAACTAAACAAAGTATTAGGGTACTTATCTTCTATCTATAGAAAACAGGAAGTATAACCATGACAACGTGGTGGTGTGGTATAGATAACAGGAAATATATACAGGACAACATGATGGTGTGGTATAGATAACAGGTAATATATACAGGAAAACGTGATGGTGTGGTATAGATAACAGGTAATATATACAGGACAACGTGATGGTGTGGTATAGATAACAGGTAATATATACAGGACAACGTGATGGTGTGGTATAAATAACAGGTAATATATACAGAACTACGTGATGGTGTGGTATAGATAACAGGAAATATTACCATGACAACGTGATGGTGTGGTATAGATAACAGGTAATATATACAGGACAACGTGATGGTGTGGTATAGATAACAGGTAATATATACAGAACTACGTGATGGTGTGGTATAGATAACAGGAAATATTACCATGACAACGTGATGGTGTGGTATAGATAACAGGTCATATATACAGAACTACGTGATGGTGTGGTATAGATAACAGGAAACATTACCATGACAACATGATGGTGTGGTATAGGTAACAGGTAATATATACAGGACAACGTGATGGTGTGGTATAGATAACAGGTAATATAACCAGCACAACGTTTTGGTGTGGTATAGAAAACAGGAAGTATAACCATGACAACGTGATGGTGTGGTATAGATAACAGGAAATATATACAGGACAACGTGGTGGTGTGGTATAGATAACAGGAAATATATACAGGACAACGTGGTGGTGTGGTATAGATAACAGGTAATATATACAGGACAACGTGGTGGTGTGGTATAGATAACAGGTAATATATACAGGACAACGTGATGGTGTGGTATAGATAACAGGTAATATATACAGGACAACGTGATGGTGTGGTATAGATAACAGGTAATATATACAGGACAACGTGATGGTGTGGTATAGATAACAGGTAATATATACAGACAACGTGGTGGTGTGGTATAGATAACAGGAAATATTACCATGACAACGTGATGGTGTGGTATAGATAACAGGTAATATATACAGAACTACGTGATGGTGTGGTATAGATAACAGGAAATATTACCATGACAACGTGATGGTGTGGTATAGGTAACAGGTAATATATACAGGACAACGTGATGGTGTGGTATAGATAACAGGTAATATAACCAGCACAACGTTTTGGTGTGGTATAGAAAACAGGAAGTATAACCATGACAACGTGATGGTGTGGTATAGATAACAGGTAATATATACAGGACAACGTGATGGTGTGGTATAGATAACAGGAAATATATACAGGACAACGTGATGATGTGGTATAGATAACAGGTAATATATACAGAACTACGTGATGGTGTGGTATAGATAACAGGTAATATATACAGGACAACGTGATGGTGTGGTATAGATAACAGGTAATATATACAGGACAACGTGATGGTGTGGTATAGATAACAGGTAATATAACCAGGACAACGTGATGGTGTGGTATAGATAACAGGAAATATATTATATAATGGTGGACAATATCACCCTATTAAACCTCACGTGACCTCCATTGATGATCAGAACAAGGTCATTCTATATTGGTAAATAAAATTAGAGATAGCTAGAGATATTTTAGTCAGTGATTGACAGATATCACGCATTGGTCATCACTTTAGACAAATGTTAATATCACGCAGTGTCATCACTTTAGACAAATGTTCATTTCACGCAGTGGTCATCACTTTAGACAAATGTTCATTTCACGCAGTGGTCATCACTTTAGACAAATGTTAATATCACGCAGTGGTCATCACTTAATTTATATGTTAACGGTAGCTTTATGGTGTTGGTACATTATTTGTATGATAAATGAATTTCTACACTTGTTCTGTATTCCTAATACATATTCATGTGAAACACACAAATGCGATGCATGTTTGAATATGAGATCGACAGAAAGAGTTTTCTTTCCCGTGTTATAATATTTCATTCAAATTCTTTTGAAATAATTCTAGACAGCGAATATACTATTTATGTATGTTTAAGTTTTCGGCTGATCATAGTCATATATATGTTTACCACCTAATGGAAAAACTTGTCGTGCTTTCTCTTGTTACAGAATGTTGCCTTTTATCAAGATAGTGAGACGGGAGCTGCGTGTAAAGTGACCTGCGAGGGCCTCTCACAAGGACACTGTGACCCTTTACTGGTAACAACTAAAATTGATCACTAACTTCTGTCGGTCGTAAGATCCAGATCATGAGACACTCTAACGCGGCTGTGAGATCTAGTACGTGTGAAAGAGTAGGTTGTGAGTTCTAGAGTCTATAACATCTTCAGTCGGCTGTGAGATCTAGAGCGTGAAACAGCCTCTTCGGCTGTGATATATAGAACGTGAAACAGCCTTTTCAGCTGTGAGATCTAGAGCGTGAAACAGCCTCTTCGGCTGTGAGATCTAGAACGTGAAACAGCCTTTTCAGCTGTGAGATCTAGAACGTGAAACAGCCTCTTCGGCTGTGATGTATAGAACGTGAAACAGCCTTTTCAGCTGTGAGATCTAGAACGTGAAACAGCCTTTTCGGCTGTGATATCTAGAACGTGAAACAGCCTCTTCGGCTGTGAGATCTAGAACGTGAAACAGCCTCTTCGGCTGTGAGATCTAGAACGTGAAACAGCCTCTTCGGCTGAGAGATCTAGAACGTGAAACAGCCTTTTCAGCTGTGAGATCTAGAGCGAGAAACAGATTCTTCGACTTTAAAATCTAGAGCGTGATACAGCCTCTTCACCTGTGAGGTCTAGAAAATGACCTATACAGTGTGACAGCCATAGGTTGTTACATTCCCAGTCGACCGTGACGTGTAGAGCGTGTGACAACCCCAGTCGGGCAGGAGATCTAAAATGAGTGACAGCGCCAGTTGGCAGTGTTCTTCTACCAGTCCTTCCACGTACTGCCAAACTCGCCCTTGGAAAACATGATATCTTATCTTTAAACGTGGTATCAATATGAGATTATCTGGAGGGGGTCGGGCTGAGGGGGGGAGGGGGGGGGGGCAATGGGGACCAATTGGAGATAATTCACAGGTATAATGTATCGTTCTGTCGCTATTATTACATACGTTGTATGCAGTAAGATTTAGAAAATAAATGTAGACAATTCAGCGACACACTTTTGGTTGATAAAGTCACACGGTATACGATATAAACAACAAAACCCACAACATTATTACACACTGAGTAACACTCCTTTGAAGTTAGAACACCTTGCAATGTATCGTGACGGATTGGAAGGAAAATCAAGTGATCCATTATTTTCGCTTTATTTATATCTACATATGTTTTAAACACGGCTAAGTAATGATGTAGCTCTGAAATAAAAAGAAAACATTCTTGAGTACGTTATTACCATGATGATGCAGCTAATAACAGCTCTATATAAATATGTGTTTATTTAAATTAGTTTCCGCATTTTTCCCTTGTAACACATACATACTTTCATTATTGACGTCAGTGTGTTGTAATTTATATTCAAACGTTCTATTATTCTACGACATCCGGAAACGGTTCACATGTAACACAATAAAAATACGTCCGGTTACTGTTCACAAATTAAACAATGAAGATATGTCTGGTTACACATATAACACAATACAGATATGTCTGGTTACACATATAACACAATACAGATATGTCTGGTTACACATATAACACAATAAAGATATGTCTGGTTACACATATAACACAATAAAGATATGTCTGGTTACACATATAACACAATAAAGATATGTCTGGTTACACATATAACACAATAAAGATATGTCTGGTTACACATATAACACAATAAAGATATGTCTGGTTACACATATAACACAATAAAGATATGTCTGGTTACACATATAACACAATAAAGATATGTCTGGTTACACATATAACACAATAAAGATATGTCTGGTTACACATATAACACAATGAAGATATGTCTGATTACACATATAACACAATAAAGATATGTCTGGTTACACATATAACACAATAAAGATATGTCTGGTTACACATATAACACAATACAGATATGTCTGGTTACACATATAACACAATAAAGATATGTCTGGTTACACATATAACACAATAAAGATATGTCTGGTTACACATATAACACAATAAAGATATGTCTGGTTACACATATAACACAATAAAGATATGTCTGGTTACACATATAACACAATAAAGTCTGGTTACACATATAACACAATACAGATATGTCTGGATTACACATATAACACAATAAAGATATGTCTGGTTACACATATAACACAATAAAGATATGTCTGGTTACACATATAACACAATAAAGATATGTCTGGTTACACATATAACACAATAAAGATATGTCTGGTTACACATATAACACAATAAAGATATGTCTGGTTACACATATAACACAATACAGATATGTCTGGTTACACATATAACACAATAAAGATATGTCTGGTTACACATATAACACAATAAATATATGTCTGGTTACACATATAACACAATAAAGATATGTCTGGTTACACATATAACACAATAAAGATATGTCTGGTTACACATATAACACAATAAAGATATGTCTGGTTACACATATAACACAATAAAGATATGTCTGGTTACACATATAACACAATAAAGATATGTCTGGTTACACATATAACACAATATAACACATATAAACAATAAAGATATGTCTGGTTACACATATAACACAATAAAGATATGTCTGGTTACACATATAACACAATAAAGATATGTCTGGTTACACATATAACACAATAAAGATATGTCTGGTTAGATATGTCTGGTTACACATATAACACAATAACAGATATGTCTGGTTACACATATAACACAATAAAGATATGTCTGGTTACACATATAACACAATAAAGATATGTCTGGTTACACATATGTCTGGTTACACATATAACACTATACAGATATGTCTGGTTACACATATAACACAATAAAGATATGTCTGGTTACACATATAACACAATAAAGATATGTCTGGTTACACATATAACACAATAAAGATATGTCTGGTTACACATATAACACAATAAAGATATGTCTGGTTACACATATAACACAATAAAGATATGTCACACATATAACACAATATAACACAATAAAGATATGTCTGACACATATAACACAATAAAGATATGTCTGGTTACACATATAACACAATAAAGATATGTCTGGTTACACATATAACACAATAAAGATATGTCTGGTTACACATATAACACAATAAAGATATGTCTGGTTACACATATAACACAATAAAGATATGTCTGGTTAATAACAGATATGTCTGGTTACACATATAACACAATAAAGATATGTCTGGTTACACATATAACACAATATATGTCTGGTTACACATATAACACAATAAAGATATGTCTGGTTACACATATAACACAATAAAGATATGTCTGGTTACACATATAACACAATAAAGATATGTCTGGTTACACATATAACACAATAAAGATATGTCTGGTTACACATATAACACAATAAAGATATGTCTGGTTACACATATAACACAATACACATAGATATGTCTGGTTACACATATAACACAATAAAGATATGTCTGGTTACACATATAACACAATAAAGATATGTCTGGTTACACATATAACACAATACAGATATGTCTGGTTACACATATAACACAATAAAGATATGTCTGGTTACACATATAACACAATACAGATATGTCTGGTTACACATATAACACAATACAGATATGTCTGGTTACACATATAACACAATAAAGATATGTCTGGTTACACATATAACACAATAAAGATATGTCTGGTTACAGTTCACATATAACACAATAAAGATATGTCTGGTTACACATATAACACAATAAAGATATGTCTGGTTACACATATAACACAATAAAGATATGTCTGGTTACACATATAACACAATAAAGATATGTCTGGTTACACATATAACACAATAAAGATATGTCTGGTTACACATATAACACAATAAAGATATGTCTGGTTACACATATAACACAATAAAGATATGTCTGGTTACACATATAACACAATAAAGATATGTCTGGTTACACATATAACACAATAAAGATATGTCTGGTTACACATATAACACAATAAAGATATGTCTGGTTACACATATAACACAATACAGATATGTCTGGTTACACATATAACACAATACAGATATGTCTGGTTACACATATAACACAATACAGATATGTCTGGTTACACATATAACACAATAAAGATATGTCTGGTTACACATATAACACAATAAAGATATGTCTGGTTACACATATAACACAATAAAGATATGTCTGATATAACACAATAAAGTTGTCTGGTTACACATATAACACAATAAAGATATGTCTGGTTACACATATAACACAATAAAGATATGTCTGATATACACATAAAGATAACACAATAACACAATAAAGATATGTCTGGTTACACATATAACACAATACAGATATGTCTGGTTACATTAAGATGTAACACACACAAATAGTTACGTCCAGTTACGATGGAAATATATCCGTTTATGGTATGTGATGGCTGGAAACAATCATTATAAACATCATAAAATGAGTACCGCCCTGTTGTCTGACAGAGTAAGGAACGATAGAACCTCAGACCTGAGGTCTGGTGCAATGGTATTGTTAGTGGAAATTCAAACTGATCGAAAATAGACCCTCACTAAACTACACCCTAACTGAAAGTTTCTGCAGAACTGTGACCCGATTCGTAACAGTGTATACGTGACTACAAAAATATCACCTAATAAACAGTTTACATAACCAGGATAAAAACAAACATCACCATCACAACCAAATCGTATCACGACGTACAACACAAAGACACGTGGTTTGGGTAACCAATATAAGGAGCCCATGTTTTTAAGAATGGAAATTAATTTCCTTGAAACTTTTAAGAAAAGAATACACATCATCAGCGTGATCTTTGATAAGACACTAGTATGTAAAAGTGACGTCATCTGTTTAACTTTTTTTTTTACATTTATCATTTACAGACTGGCAGCTTTAATGTAGAGGGTGTAGAGTATGCGATACAAATGATACCGGGAGATGAAAGAGTCAGACGAAGTGTCAGATCACGTGGTGTACGTCATAAAGGTCGTCTGTACCAAGTATTCAGAACGAAAAGACACATGGCATCCATGTCGGATTATATGGACACAGGTAACTAACAATGTACAGGTAACAAACAATGTACAGGTAACTAACAATGTACAGGTAACAAACAATGTACGGGTAACAAAAATGTACGGTAACAAACAATGTACGGGTAACAAACAATGTACAGGTAACTAACACTGTACAGGTAACTCACAATGCACAGGTAACAAACAATGTACAGATAACAAACAATGTACAGCTAACAAACAATGTACTGGTAACTAACAATGTACAGGTAACAAGCAATGTACAGGTAACAAACAATGTACAGGTAACTAACACTGTACAGGTAACTAACAATGTACAGGTAACAAGCAATGTACAGGTAACAAACAATGTACAGCTAACTAACAATGTACAGGTAACTAACAATGTACAGGTAACAAACAATGTACAGGTAACAAACAATGTACAGGTAACAAACAATATACAGCTAACTAACAACCTACAGGTAACAAACAATGTACAGGTAACAAACAATTTACAGGTAACTAACAATGTACAGGTAACAAACAATGTACTGGTAACTAACAATGTACAGGTAACAAACAATGTAAGAGTAACTAACAATGTACTGGTAACTAACAATGTACAGGTAACAAACAATGTACAGGTAACAAACAATGTACAGCTAACTAACAACCTACAGGTAACAAACAATGTACAGGTAACAAACAATGCTCAGCTAACTAACAATGTACAGGTAACAAACAATTTACAGGTAACTAACAATGTACAGGTAACAAACAATTTACAGGTAACTAACAATGTACTGGTAACTAACAATGTACAGGTAACAAACAATGTACAGGTAACAAACAATGCTCAGCTAACTAACAATGTACAGGTAACAAACAATTTACAGGTAACTAACAATGTACTGGTAACTAACAATGTACAGGTAACAAACAATTTACAGGTAACTAACAATGTACAGGTAACAAACAATGTACGGGTAACTAACAATGTACAGGTAACAAACAATGTACAGCTAACTAGCAATGTACAGGTAACAAGCAATGTACAGGTAACAAACAATGTACAGGTAACTCACAATGTACAGGTAACAAACAATGTACGGGTAACAAACAATGTACGGGTAACAAACAATGTACAGCTAACTAACAATGTACAGGTAACAAACAATGTACAGGTAACTAACAATGTACAGGTAACAAACAATGTACTGGTAACTAACAATGTACAGGTAACAAACAATGTACAGGTAACTCACAATGTACAGGTAACAAACAATGTACGGGTAACAAACAATGTACTGGTAACAAACAATGTACAGGTAACAAACAATGTACGGGTAACAAACAATGTACTGGTAACAAACAATGTACAGGTAACAAACAATGTACAGCTAACTAACAATGTACAGGTAACAAACAATGTACAGGTAACAAACAATGTACAGGTAACAAACAATGTACAGGTAACTAACAATGTATAGGTAACAAACAATGAACAGGTAACTAACAATGAACATTTAACTAAAATTTACAGGTAACTGAAATGTACAGGTAACTTAATAAAACTGCACCGGCAACTAACACTGTTCAATAGGAAATTAACAATTTATTGGCAAGTTACAATTTACAGTCAACTAACACCTGTACATTGTAACTAACTAAATTCAGGTAACTGACAATGTGCATGTGTATTTGGCAGGAAACAGGTAACTAACAATGTACAGGTGTATCTGGCAGTGTCCTTGGTTACTGGAAACTAACCATAACAAGCAATGTACAGGTAACTAACAATGTACAGGTGTATTCGGCAGTGTCCTAAGATACAGGTAACTAACAATGTACAGGTGTATTCGGCAGTGTCCTAGGATACAGGTAACTAACAATGTACAGGTGTATTCGGCAGTGTCCTAGGAAACAGGTAACTAACCATAACTAGCCATGTACAGGTAACTAACCATAACTAGCCATGTACAGGTAACTAACCATAACTAGCCATGTACATGTAACTAACCATAACTAGCCATGTACAGGTAACTAACCATAACTAGCCATGTACAGGTAACTAACCATAACTAGCCATGTACATGTAACTAACCATAACTAGCCATGTACATGTAACTAACCATAACTAGCCATGTACATGTAACTAACCATAACTAGCCATGTACAGGTAACTAACCATAACTAGCCATGTACAGGTAACTAACCATAACTAGCCATGTACATGTAACTAACCATAACTAGCCATGTACATGTAACTAACCATAACTAGCCATGTACAGGTAACTAACCATAACTAGCCATGTACAGGTAACTAACCATAACTAGCCATGTACATGTAACTAACCATAACTAGCCATGTACAGGTAACTAACCATAACTAGCCATGTACAGGTAACTAACCATAACTAGCCATGTACAGGTAACTAACCATAACTAGCCATGTACAGGTAACTAACCATAACTAGCCATGTACATGTAACTAACCATAACTAGCCATGTACAGGTAAATAACCATAACTAGCCATGTACAGGTAAATAACAAGGAACAATTCCATGATACCATTATCTTCCTGAATTAGACATACACGAGTTTTGCAAAATGTTGAAGCTAGATTTTGCAACCTTTACAAGTGATATGCTCGTGTACATGTATCACGACAATACCACAGTATAGAGCTGTAATATTTTACGATAAATGAACGGCGAACTTTAAAGAAAACTGTTTATTTGTACAAACGACCACATCAAGCATAAAAAGCCCATTTTATGCGCAAAATTAGCAGCGTAAATAAAGATCCCAACATAAATACGTCAACATAATCACGATTAGGGCGTGGTTATCATTGTTTAAATATTACAACAGTTTCCAAGACAATTTAATGACAAAATAATTGGTTTAAACTTTCTGTTACCTCTACTACGTGAACGTGATTTGAGCCATGACGCCATCTAGCGAGGAATTTGGGAACTACTACTTTTATTGATAAAATTTCAGACCTAAGATATCTCATATTTGACCAATCAGAACGCTGCTTGCTCATTACAGCTATAGCGACTCTCGGCTCCAGTCTAGACACATTATTACTTGTTCCCGGAAGACAAGAAACACTCATACTCCCAAGATCTTCATCATCTATAAGCTCTGAATTCTTTTTTAACTATATGTTTTATGATTATCGAAATGAAAACTAAATCTTCATTATTTTTTCAATTAAGGCGGTGATCCGAACAAAATACAAAAGAAAAGAAAAGGCAATAAGGGTGGAGCTATGAGACACTCAGAATCTGTGATAGATCTGACAAGTAATGTAACAGATCCCATGGCGATGCGAACGAGAGGGCGAGTCATCCAAGGTAACCGTCCGTCACCTCACAGACGTGCCCTCTACCATCTCGGCCTGCTGTTAGTGATCGACTATAATATATACAGGCGGTAAGTCTACATTTACCCTTGGTTAATGTAATAATACTAACAATAATAATAAATATATACGTTGGTTAAGTGAGTTTGAGGTCAACATGTTTTATGTTAAACCAGAGGGCCGAAGGCAAGAGTTTGGTCCTAGGTTTCGCATAACACATGTTGACCGAAAATCCAGTTTACATATGTTTTTGTTTTACCTTCTACCGTTGATAAGGCAACATCAATTTGGTAGACGAGTTTGGCAGGGGGCACTACCATAGTTTTATGGCGGAAATTGCCGACTAACGACCGGAAAGTACCGAACAGTAATGAGCTGTTTCGTAAGCAGTTACCGTGGATATATTGAGCGGTAACCATTGTTCTGGAACAAACATCTGGAATTCCAGACTTTATTCACCATAGAAAATTACAGAGAATAAATAGTAAAGGTATAAGAAATATTTCATTTAAGTGTCACATATAATTTACATTATAACTTATGTAATCAAATATTCATAAATATTTATGAACATAAATGTGATTTATTTGTAATTGACCTGAAAACGAAACTCTGAAGTTATCATGTAAATCATTTCATTATTATGATTAGAACTTAAAGTGAAAAGGGAGATAACTGTCTACTATAATAAAATGTTTTTTACGGAATGTTCCATCCTCGATACTCCAGGGATCACGATCACATTCGCTCTCTGTACCTCTGGAAAAACGTCATGGCAAAATTGAAGGCACACACGAAGTTATTTGATTGGTACCAGGATAAAAAAACTGACCAATCACAGGCCGATACGCCCTTTTGAAGATTACAAAAGAGTGACACCAATCTTCACAGCCATTACTATATACCGATGTGTGAATTTGAGATTCGTTTGATGTACATCAAAGGATCAAACTAGTCTTTTTGTCTTGTTCACAAGGTGCCGCACATTGAACCTTCAATTTTGCCATGAAGTGTTCCAGGGGTATAGAGAGCGAAAGTGATTGCAAACCCTGGAGCATCGCTGATGTTTCTGTCCAAATATTGTTTTTCCTTTGAAAGAGTTGAAATCTTAGCGGCGTTTTTACACCAAAATCACTATAAACCGTGAAAATGTCCAGTCACCTTATACGTCCTCTGGTGTACATATATAGTTAATTAAGTTCAAACATAATGAAAGCAAATTCTTTTCCTTGTTTTAACTGACAATATCTCTTAATTATCAACATAATAGACATGTATTTATGTACAATGAACATATTTCACGTGAAAACCACCTTCATCAGTATTTTACACTAAATAAATCGTCTGAGTGAGTATAACTATCAACACATGAAGTTCTTTTCCTGTTCTACAGATTTTTCGATGCGTCAACTGGAAGTTCCCATTTCGAAAGAGACGAACAAGCTAAAGCCAACATACGGGAACATATGGCTAATATAGTGAACGGGGTAATTAATATTGTGTCGCTTGAATTCAAATGTTGTCAGTTATTATTCTTTATTTATTATTTATCATTCAGTCTTCTGGACAATAATTTTCAGTTAAGCTGATTTTTCCCATTTCCAATGTACGAGTTAAATTATAACGTTCATTAAGACAAATATTCACTATTAAGAAAGTGACGGTGTTTTAATGCAGAATGTATGTATTTATCCCGTAATCGATACTTATCGCCTTATATATACCTATCACCTAATCGATACCTATCGCCTAATCGATACTTATCACCTAATCGATACCTATCACCTAATCGATACTTATCGCCTAATCGATACCTAACGTCTCTGATAATCAAAATCAGGCTATGGGTGACTGAGACTTGATTAGGAAACAACATTACAAAATTAATAATGAGCAAAAACAGACATGCTATATCTCACTAGACGATACCGTCAATTGGGGACCCTATATTGTCACTGCCAACATGATAATATATTTATATGATCGAAGTTCATGGTCTTTCGGGGACTCGTGACACCTGGCTGTGTTAATAGTACCAGTCCAGTGGACTAGTTGATGGTATGGTCCGTAATTACAAGTATTTACACGTGAAACATGCCTTATCGCCCCTAATGTAACTTATATCCGAGTTACAGAGTGGATCATTACTATGGTATTTACAAGTATTAACAAGTGACCCCCTCTCCCCTACTCACCGGGTTACAGGGCGGTATTAATACTATGGTGACAATGTAAGTGAGACATTGTCACAGAGAGTGTTTATGTAAGTAATTTTCCCCTTGTGTTTTTTCCAGGTCGATCTACGTTTCAATAATTTCGAGACGTTTGAGGTAAAGGTTGCTATAACTGGATACGTAATCATTGATGTAAGTAATACATAACTTCTTAAATCACATTTCTATCTAATATACAAAATATTTATTTATAGAATTAGATCCGGGGTATCTGTATGATATATAGCGGTCTATATAGTGATATCTTACCGGTGTGTAGATCATGATAGCGGTCTATATAGCGATATCTTACCGGTGTGTAGATCATGATAGACAGCTGTCTATATAGCGATATCTTACCGGTGTGTAGATCATGATAGACAGCGGTCTATATAGTGAAATATTACCGGTGTGTAGATCATGATAAACAGCGGTCTATATAGCGATATCTTACCGGTGTGTAGATCATGATAGACAGCGGTCTATATAGCGATATCTTACCGGTGTGTAGATCATGATAGACAGCGGTCTATATAGTGAAATATTACCGGTGTGTAGATCATGATAGACAGCGGTCTATATATCGATATCTTACCGGTGTGTAGATCATGATAGACAGCGGTCTATATAGCGATATCTTACCGGTGTGTAGATCATGATAGACAGCGGTCTATATAGTGAAATATTACCGGTGTGTAGATCATGATAAACAGCGGTCTATATAGCGATATCTTACCGGTTTGTAGATCATGATAAACAGCGGTCTATATAGCGATATCTTACCGGTGTGTAGATCATGATAGACAGCGGTCTATATAGCGATATCTTACCGGTGTGTAGATCATGGTAGACAGCGGTCTATATAGCGATATCTTACCGGTGTGTAGATCATGATAAACAGCGGTCTATATAGCGATATCTTACCGGTGTGTAGATCATGATAGACAGCGGTCTATATAGCGATATCTTACCGGTGTGTAGATCATGATAGACAGCGGTCTATATAGTGATATCTTACCGGTGTGTAGATCATGATAGACAGCGGTCTATATAGCGATATCTTACCGGTGTGTAGATCATGATAGACAGCGGTCTATATAGCGATATCTTACCGGTGTGTAGATCATGATAGACAGCGGTCTATATAGTGAAATATTACCGGTGTGTAGATCATGATAGACAGCGGTCTATATATCGATATCTTACCGGTGTGTAGATCATGATAGACAGCGGTCTATATAGCGATATCTTACCGGTGTGTAGATCATGATAGACAGCGGTCTATATAGTGAAATATGACCGGTGTGTAGATCATGATAAACAGCGGTCTATATAGCGATATCTTACCGGTGTGTAGATCATGATAGACAGCGGTCTATATAGCGATATCTTACCGGTGTGTAGATCATGATAGACAGCGGTCTATATAGCGATATCTTACCGGTGTGTAGATCATGATAGACAGCGGTCTATATAGTGATATCTTACCGGTGTGTAGATCATGATAGACAGCGGTCTATATAGTGATATCTTACCGGTGTGTAGATCATGATAGACAGCGGTCTATATAGCGATATCTTACCGGTGTGTAGATCATGATAGACAGCTGTCTATATAGCGATATCTTACCGGTGTGTAGATCATGATAGACAGCTGTCTATATAGTGATATCTTACCGGTGTGTAGATCATGATAGACAGCGGTCTATATAGCGATATCTTACCGGTGTGTAGATCATGATAGACAGCGGTCTATATAGCGATATCTTACCGGTGTGTAGATCATGATAGACAGCGGTCTATATAGCGATATCTTACCGGTGTGTAGATCATGATAGACAGCGGTCTATATAGTGAAATATGACCGGTGTGTAGATCATGATAGACAGCGGTCTATATAGCGATATCTTACCGGTGTGTAGATCATGATAGACAGCGGTCTATATAGCGATATCTTACCGGTGTGTAGATCATGGTAGACAGCGGTCTATATAGCGATATCTTACCGGTGTGTAGATCATGATAGACAGCGGTCTATATAGCGATATCTTACCGGTGTGTAGATCATGATAGACAGCGGTCTATATAGCGATATCTTACCGGTGTGTAGATCATGATAGACAGCGGTCAATATAGCGATATTTTACCGGTGTGTAGATCATGATAGACAGCGGTCTATATATCGATATCTTACCGGTGTGTAGATCATGATAGACAGCGGTCTATATTGTGACATCTTACTGGTGTTAATAAGTACCTTTAGACAAGGCTTGAAATTATTTGTAAACATGTTTTTACGCGATGATAACCCGATTGTAATTTTATTATATTCAATATCGATTGTATCTTTCCTTTATCAAATTTATTGTACTTCTCATTCAACAAAAGGATATGTATATGTAGATCTTGCTTTCTAAAATCACATTCACTTGATAAAAAAAACTTCGCACATAGCAGTGTAATGCTAGAACAACATTTTACAGCGTCATGCCTTTCATATTAGTTTAAAGTTTACTTTTGAAGCCAAATCAAACAGACTTTATAACTAAAAGTTGTTTACTAGAAAAAGGGAATGCGTTTTGATATTATAGAAAAAATTGTCCTATAATTGACGTATGTTCATCATTAAGTGTGAGAAATATCAATCAATGAAACCGATAATGATTTCGAACAGTTCTATTAATTTTCTCGTGAAACTGCTTTGGAATTGGTGTTTACTCAGTTTTGAACAACTATGTGTTTAGAAAGAAGAAGATTCCCGATGGACACTTCAGAAAATTTCCAAACGTCCACGTGATATTCTGAATGCCTCTATTGCTCTGTCAGAACTCTTTGAATGGAAGAAAGATTTCCAACAGGATCTTCCTCCTCATGATCACGTGATGCTTTTCACACAGTAAGTGACGTTGATTTTTTTTTTCCAAAAAAGTATTTTTTTTCAAAATAAGAGCAGTTGTACCAACTGTATAGCCACGTTATAACCAGTTTATCATCCTCTGAAAACGCTGTATCGTAGCCTTTATCCACCAAGTGTATCGCAGCTTTTTTTAAGACGAGTACCATAAGGTGTAAGATGTCTACAGATAGGACAAGTCGAAACCTTGCCATTTAGTTCTGGAATCCATGTTTGTTGTGTGCAATACACTGTCTGCTGTTGGTGACCTAGGTCGCCCATCATCGCCCATTCCGTCTAAAATTCCATATCGCCTACTCCTACAGGAGATCTACATTGCTCATCAATCTATCAGATCTAGATCGCACACTCCTTCATTATATCTAGATCGCCCACTCCTTCATAAGATCTAGATCGCCCACTCCTTCATTAGATATAGACCGCACACTCCTTGATTATATCTAGATCGCCCACTCCTTCATCAGATCTAGATCACACACTCCTTCATTAGATCTAGATCGCTCACTCCTTCATTAGATCTAGATCGCCCACTCCTTCATAAGATCTAGATCGCCCACTCCTTCATTAGATATAGACCGCACACTCCTTGATTATATCTAGATCGCCCACTCCTTCATCAGATCTAGATCACACAATCCTTCATTAGATATAGATCGCCCACTCCTTCATTAGATCTATATCGCACACTCCTTCATTAGATCTAGATCGCACACTCCTTCATTAGATATAGATCGCACACTCCTACATTAGATCTAGATCGCACACTCCTTCATTAGATCTATATCGCACACTCCTTCATCAGATCTAGATCGCACACTCCTTCATTAGATCTAGATCGCTCACTCCTTCATTAGATCTAGATCGCCCACTCCTTCATCAGATCTAGATCGCACACTCCTTCATTAGATCTAGATCGCACACTCCTTCATTAGATCTAGATCGCACACTCCTTCATTAGATCTAGATCGCCCACTCCTTCATTAGATCTAGATCGCACACTCCTTCATTAGATCTAGATCGCACACTCCTTCATTAGATCTAGACACACTCCTTCATTAGATCTAGATCGCACACTCCTTCTTCATTAGATATATCTATTATATCGCGCCACTCCTTCATTAGATCTAGATCGCACACTCCTTCATTAGATCGCACACTCCTTCATTAGATCTAGATCGCACACTCCTTCATTAGATCTAGATCGCACACTCCTTCATTAGATCTAGATCGCACACTCCTTCATTAGATCTAGATCGCACACTCCTTCATTATATAGATCGCACACTCCTTCATTAGATCTAGATCGCTCACTCCTTCATTAGATCTAGATCGCCCTTTCCTTCATTAGATCTAGATCGCACACTCCTACAGTAGATCTAGATCGCACACTCCTTCATTAGATCTAGATCGCCCACTCCTTCATTAGATATAGACCGCACACTCCTTGATTATATAGCACACTCCTTCATTCTAGACTCTCTTTCATCATATCTAGATCGCCACTCCTTCATTAGATAGATCTCCTTCATTATCTAGATCGCACACTCCTTCATTAGATCTATCGCACACTCCTTCATTAGATCTAGATCGCACACTCCTTCATCAGATCTAGATCGCACACTCCTTCATTAGATCTAGATCGCACACTCCTTCATTAGATCTAGATCGCACACTCCTTCATTAGATATAGATCGCACTCCTTCATTAGATCTAGATCGCACACTCCTTCATTAGATCTAGATCGCACACTCCTTCATTAGATCCTTCATAGATCTAGCACACTCCTTCATTAGATCTAGATCGCACACTCCTTCATTAGATCTAGATCGCACACTCCTTCATCAGATCTAGATCGCACACTCCTTCATTAGATCTAGATCGCACACTCCTTCATCAGATCTAGATCGCACACTCCTTCATTAGATCTAGATCGCACACTCCTTCATTAGATATAGACCGCACACTCTTTCATTAGATCTAGATCGCACACTCCTTCATTAGATCTAGATCGCCCACTCCTTCATAAGATCTAGATCGCCCACTCCTTCATTAGATCGCCCACTCCTTCATTAGATCTAGATCGCACACTCCTTCATTAGATCTAGATCGCCCACTCCTTCATTAGATCTAGATCGCACACTCCTTCATTATATCTAGATCGCACACTCCTTCATTCTAGATAGCACTCTCTTTCATCATATCTAGATCGCCCACTCCTTCATTAGATCTAGATCGCACACTCCTTCATTAGATCTAGATCGCACACTCCTTCATTAGATCTAGATCGCACACTCCTTCATTAGATCTAGATCGCACACTCCTTCATTAGATCTAGATCGCACACTCCTTCATTAGATCTAGATCGCCCACTCCTTCATTAGATCTAGATCGCACACTCCTTCATTAGATCTAGATCGACCACTCCTTCATTAGATCTAGATCTCCTTCATTAGATCGCACACTCCTTCATTAGATCTAGATCGCACACTCCTACATTAGATCTAGATCGCCCACTCCTTCATTAGATATAGATCGCCCACTCCTTCATTCTAGATAGCACTCTCTTTCATCATATCTAGATCGCCCACTCCTTCATTAGATCTAGATCGTCCACTCCTTCATCAGATCTAGATCGCACACTCCTTCATTAGATCTAGATCGCTCACTCCTTCATTAGATCTAGATCGCCCTTTCCTTCATTAGATCTAGATCGCACACTCCTACAGTAGATCTAGATCGCACACTCCTTCATTAGATCTAGATCGCACACTCCTTCATTAGATCTAGATCGCCACTCCTTCATTAGATCTCTCTTTCAGATCGCCCACTCCTTCATTAGATCTAGATCGCACACTCCTTCATTAGATATAGATCGCACACTCCTTCATTAGATCTAGATCGCACTAGATCGCCCACTCCTTCATTAGATCTAGATCGCACACTCCTTCATTAGATCTAGATCGCACACTCCTTCATCAGATCTAGATCGCACACTCCTTCATTAGATCTAGATCGCACACTCCTACATTAGATCTAGATCGAAAACTCCTTCATTAGATCTAGATCGCACACTCCTTTACCAGATCTAGATCGCCCTTTCCTTCATTAGATCTAGATCGCACACTCCTACAGTAGATCTAGATCGCACACTCCTTCATTAGATCTAGATCGCACACTCCTTCATTAGATCTAGATCGCACACTCCTTCATTAGATCTAGATCGCACACTCTTTCATTAGATCTAGATCGCCCACTCCTTCATTAGATCTAGATCGCACACTCCTTCATTAGATCTAGATCGCACACTCTTTCATTAGATCTAGATCGCACACTCCTTCATTAGATCTAGATCGCACACTCCTACATTAGATCTAGATCGCACACTCCTACATTAGATCTAGATCGCACACTCTTTCATTAGATCTAGATCGCCCACTCCTTCATTAGATCTAGATCGCCCACTCCTTCATTAGATCTAGATCGCACACTCCTTCATTAGATCTAGATCGCACACTCCTTCATTAGATCTAGATCGCACACTCCTTCATTAGAACTAGATCGCCCACTCCTTCATTAGATCTAGATCGCACACTCCTTCATTAGATCTAGATCGCACACTCCTTCATTAGATCTAGATCGCACACTCCTTCATTAGATCTAGATCGCACACTCCTTCATTAGATCTAGATCGCCCACTCCTTCATTAGATCTAGATCGCCCACTCCTTCATTAGATCTAGATCGCACACTCCTTCATTAGATCTAGATCGCCCACTCCTTCATTAGATCTAGATCGCACACTCCTTCATCAGATCTAGATCGCACACTCCTTCATTAGATCTAGATCGCACACTCCTTCATTAGATATAGATATCTAGAACGCCATGTCGTTTCATTAGATCTAGATCGCTCACTCCTTCATTAGATCTAGATCGATCGCCCACTCCTTCATTAGATCTAGATCGCACACTCCTTCATTAGATCTAGATCGCCCACTCCTTCATTAGATATAGATCGCACACTCCTTCATTAGATCTAGATCGCCCACTCCTTCATTAGATCTAGATCGCACACTCCTTCATTAGATCTAGATCGCACACTCCTACATTAGATCTAGATCGCCCACTCCTTCATTAGATCTATATCGCACACTCCTTCATTAGATCTAGATCGCACACTCCTTCATTAGATCTAGATCGCACACTCCTTCATTAGATCTAGATCGCACACTCCTTCATTATCGCATTCATTAGATCGCACACTCCTTCATTAGATCTAGATCGCACACTCCTTCATAAGATCTAGATCGCACACTCCTTCATTAGATCTAGATCGCACACTCCTTTACCAGATCTAGATCGCCCTTTCCTTCATTAGATCTAGATCGCACACTCCTACAGTAGATCTAGATCGCACACTCCTTCATTAGATCTATTAGATCTAGATCGCACACTCCTTCATTAGATCTAGATCGCACACTCCTTCATCAGATCTAGATCGCACACTCCTACATTAGATCTAGATCGCCCACTCCTTCATAAGATCTAGATCGCCCACTCCTTCATTAGATCTAGATCGCCCACTCCTTCATTAGATCTAGATCGCACACTCCTTCATTAGATCTAGATCGCACACTCCTTCATTAGATCTAGATCGCACACTCCTTCATTAGATCTAGATCGCACACTCCTTCATTAGATCATTAGATCTTAGATCTAGATCGCACACTCCTTCATTAGATCTAGATCGCACACTCCTTCATTAGATCTAGATCGCCCACTCCTTCATTAGATCTAGATCGCACACTCCTTCATTAGATCTAGATCGCACACTCCTTCATTAGATCTAGATCGCACACTCCTTCATTAGATCTAGATCGCACACTCCTTCATTAGATCTAGATCGCACACTCCTTCATTAGATCTAGATCGCACACTCCTTCATTAGCACACTCCTTCATTAGATCTAGATCGCACACTCCTTCATTAGATATAGATCGCACACTCCTTCATTAGATATAGATCGCACACTCCTTCATTAGATCTAGATCGCACACTCCTTCATTAGATCTAGATCGCACACTCCTTCATCAGATCTAGATCGCACACTCCTTCATTAGATCTAGATCGCACACTCCTTCATTAGATCTAGATCGCGCACACTCCTTCATTAGATCTAGATCGCACACTCCTTCATTAGATCTAGATCGCACACTCCTTCATTAGATCTAGATCGCACACTCCTTCATCAGATCTAGATCGCACACTCCTTCATTAGATCTAGATCGAAAACTCCTTCATTAGATCTAGATCGCACACTCCTTCATTAGATCTAGATCGCACACTCCTTCATTAGATCTATTAGATCGCACACTCTTTCATTAGATCTAGATCGCACACTCTTTCATTAGATCTAGATCGCACACTCCTTCATTAGAACTAGATCGCCCACTCCTTCATTAGATCTAGATCGCACACTCCTTCATTAGATCTAGATCGCACACTCCTTCATTAGGTGTAATTTGTCTTTTTTGTTTCCTTTCAGATATGATTTGTACGTAAATGCCTTTTCAGACACAAAGGTAGCCGGTGAGTATTTGTTATTGTTTAAGACTTCAATACAACAACAACACACATACATAGGCTGTATAATATAACAAAACCATTATAACTACAATTCAAAATTTAATATGTTATTGATACAATACCATTACAACACCGATAAAATACAGATACAATACAGATAAAATACAGATACAATACAGATACAATACAGATACAACACATATACAATACAGATACAATACAGATACAACACAGATACAACACAGATACAATACAGATATACAGATACAATACAGATACAACACAGATACAATACAGATACAATACAGATACAATACAGATACAACACAGATACAATACAGATACAATACAGATACAATACAGATATACAGATACAATACAGATACAATACAGATATACAGATACAATACAGATACAACACAGATACAACACAGATACAATACAGATATACAGATACAATACAGATACAATACAGATACAATACAAATACAATACAGATATACAGATACAATACAGATACAATACAGATATACAGATACAATACAGATACAATACAGATACAATACAGATACAATACAGATACAATACAGATACAACACAGATACAATACAGATACAATACAGATACAATACAGATATACAGATACAACACAGATACAATACAGATATACAGATACAATACAGATACAACACAGATACAATACAGATACAATACAGATACAATACAGATACAATACAGATATACAGATACAATACAGATACAATACAGATATACAGATACAATACAGATACAATACAGATATACAGATACAATACAGATACAATACAGATACATACAATGAATGTGATAAATTGATACACGGGTAAAAGGAATGCCGATGTTAAGACAATATCGATATAATACATATACAATGTAAGAGTAATACAGGTGTAGAATCAACACGAAAATTACAAGGGGAATACGACCATGTGTTTCAGAAGAGAAAGCTTCTTCTTCATCGATGACACCCGCCATGTAAATCTTGGTCAAACCAAGTAAGTAATGTCACGTTCTTAAAGAAGACAAAGTATACAACGATGAAACCACCCAGAAAATTAACAAACATCAAACACGCCCAGTTTCATATCGCAGAAAAATATAGAATATTCTCAATGAGATCGCTTTAACGACTGTAAACATTCCCTACAGTTCTCATCAATCTGCATCCCTTGAAAACCCAGCGTCTGAATCAATTACGACATGTAAACACCATAGTTTTGGGATGATGGAAAGTTGTTATCTAGAAACGGAAAACTCACAGATAAGTTGGTGATGTAGCAGAGTCTGGACAGAAGAGATGCAATCAATAGGTAAGAATATCATGCCATCGATAAATGAAATTTATTCCGTTCATTGTAGGTTTTGCTCATATAAAGGCAGTATGTAAAGACAAAGGTGTTTCTGTTGTTGAAGACGAGGGCGGATTCGATAATATCCTCACAGCAACGCATGAGCTGGCGCACAGGTAGGTGACTCATTATCATTACAGTAACACATGATCTGGCGCACAGGTAGGTGAATCATCATTACAGTAACACATGAGCTGGCCCACAAGGAAGTGACTCAATATTAATATCGTTAGAGCACCACATGAGCTTGCGCACAGGTAGGTGAATCATCATTACAGTAACACATGAGCTGGCGCACAGGTAGGTGAATCATCATTACAGTAACACATGAGCTGGCGCACAAGGAAGTGACTCAATATTAATATCGTTAGAGCACCACATGAGCTGGCGCACAGGTAGGTGACTCATTATCATTACAGTAACACATGAGCTGGCGCACAGGTAGGTGACTCGATATCACAGCAACACATGAGCTGGCGCACAGGTAGGTGGCTCAATATTCTAACGGCAACACATGAGCTGGCGCACAGGTAGGTGACTCATTATCATTACAGTAACACATGAGCTGGCGCACAGGTAGGTGACTCAATATCCTCACAGCAACACATGAGCTCGCGCACAGGTAGCTGACTCAATATTCTCACGGCAACACATGAGCTGGCGCACCGGTAGGTGACTAAATATTCTCACGACAACACATGAGCTGGCGCACAGGTATTTGACTCAATATAGATATCGTTACAGCACCAAATGAGCTGGCGTACAGGTAGGTGACTCAATATCACAACAACACATGAGCTAGCGCACAGGTAGGTGACTCAATATCCTCACGGCAACACATGAGCTGGCGCACAGGGAAATGACTCAATATTGATATCGTTACAGCACCACATGAGCTTGCGCACAGGTAGGTGACTCAATATCACAGCAACACATGAACTGGCGCACAGGTAGGTGACTCAATATCCTCACAGCAACACATGATCTGGCGAACAGGTAGGTGACTCTATATTAATATCGTTACAGCACCATATGAGCTTGCGCACAGGTAGGTGACTCATTATCATTACAGTAACACATGCGTTGGCGCATAGGTAGGTGACTCAATATCACAGCAACACATGAGCTGGCGCACAGGTAGGTGACTCAATATTCTCACGGCAACACATGAGCTAGCGCACAGGTAGGTGACTAAATATCCTCACGGCAACACATGAACTGGCGCACAGGGATTTCCTAGATGAGTTTTGAGGTAAGTTCTTCTAACAAACTTTTGGCATACCTATAGGAAATAATTATGTACCTGTCCCTTGTCTTCATCATGAATGTATCGAAGAGCCTATTAGTTAAGACAGAAAACAAAGATGCAGACATGTTGATCACGTCTCGTCTGATATAGTTTATATAACAGTATACACTAAAATATCACTGATACCTCCCTATGAGGCTGTATAGTGAATGATTGTGTTACTTTGCTCTTAAATCTGGATTTCTAGACCACGTTAGAGATTTACTCATTTCATTCCTTTGGACCCAAATTGTTTGTCATGTTTTTACCATATAAGGTATCCCTTCATTAAGTATACACACTCAGTTGTATATGCTGTAGGTAATACATACAATATCTTGCTTTAGTCTTGGTGCAAGTCACGATGGCGACCGTCGCTATGACAACCATTGTGACCCTAACGACGGATTTATCATGACAGCTGTTGGTGGAGGCACTGCTGGAGATGCAACAAAGGGACAAAACTCGTACAGATTTTCGACTTGTTCGGAAGACCAAATTATCGATTATTTCGACTCGTTGTAAGTAAATATATTCTCATATCATACAGTGAATTAGGAATTTCTCTACAATGATTATACTGCTGAAAACGTTACCAGATATTTATGTCCTGGTGTGTCGATGATGTGATATTTATGTCCTGGTGTTTTGATGCTGTTTGATATTTGTGTCCTGGTGTGTTGATGCTGTGATACTTGTGTCCTGACGTGTTGACAATGTGATATTTGTGTCCTGGTGTGTTGATGCTGTGATATTTGTGTCCTGGCGTGTTGATGCTGTGATATTTGTGTCCTGGTGTGTTGACGCCGTGATATTTGTGTCCTGGTGTGTTGATGCTGTGGTATTTGTGTCCTGGTGTGTTGACGCTGTGATATTTGTGTCCTGGTGTGTTGATGCTGTGATATTTGTGTCCTGGTGTGTTGATGCTGTGATACTTGTGTCCTGGTGTGTTGACGCTGTGATATTTGTGTCCTGGTGTGTTGATGCTGTGATACTTGTGTCCTGGTGTGTTGATGCTGTGATACTTGTGTCCTGGTGTGTTGATGCTGTGATATTTGTGTCCTGGTGTGTTGAAGCTGTGATATTTGTGTCCTGGTGTGTTGACGCTGTGATACTTGTGTCCTGGTGTGTTGACGCTGTGATATTTGTGTCCTGTGTTGATGCTGTGATACTTGTGTCCTGGTGTGTTGACGCTGTGATACTTGTGTCCTGGTGTGTTGACGCTGTGATACTTGTGTCCTGGTGTGTCAATGATGTGATACTTGTGTTCTGGTGTGTTGAAGCTGTGATATTTGTGTCCTGGTGTGTTGACGCTGTGATACTTGTGTCCTGGTGTGTTGATGCTGTGTATTTGTGTCCTGGTGTGTTGTTTATGCTGTGATGCTGTGATATTTGTGTCCTGGTGTGTTGACGCTGTGATATTTGTGTCCTGGTGTGTTGTGTGATATGTGTCCTGGTGTGTTGACGCCTGTGTGTTGATATTTGTGTCCTGGTGTGTTGACGCTGTGATAATTGTGTCCTGGTGTGTTGATGCGATGTGATATTTGTGTCCTGGTGTGTTGATGCTGTGTTATTTGTGTCCTGGTGTGTTGACGCTGTGATATTTGTGTCCTGGTGTGTTGATGCTGGTGTGTTGACTTGTGTCCTGGTGTGTTGATGCTGTGATATTTGTGTCCTGGTGTGTTGATGCTGTGATACTTGTGTCCTGGTGTGTTGACCTGGTGTGTTGATATATTGTGTCCTGTGTGTTGATACTTGTGTCCTGGTGTGTTGACGCTGTGATATTTGTGTCCTGGTGTGTTGATGCTGTGATATTTGTGTCCTGGTGTGTTGACGCTGTGATATTTGTGTCCTGGTGTGTTGATGCTGTGATATTTGTGTCCTGGTGTGTTGACGCTGTGATATTGTGTCCTGGTGTGTTGACCTATTTGTGTGTGTGTTGACGCTGTGATATTTGTGTCCTGGTGTGTTGACGCTGTGATAGTTGTGTCCTGGTGTGTTGACGCTGTGATAGTTGTGTCCTGGTGTGTTGATATTTGTGTCCTGCTGTGATATTTGTGTCCTGGTGTGTTGATGCTGTGATATTTGTGTCCTGGTGTGTTGACGCTGTGATATTTGTGTCCTGGTGTGTTGACGCTGTGATATTTGTGTCCTGGTGTGTTGTGTCTGGTGTGTTGACGCTGTGATATTTGTGTCCTGGTGTGTTGATATTTGTGTCCTGGTGTGTTGACGCTGTGATATTTGTGTCCTGTGTGTTGATGCTGGTGTGTTGGTGTGTTGATGCTGTGATATTGTGTCCTGGTGTGTTGACGCTGTGATATTTGTGTCCTGGTGTGTTGATGCTGTGATATTTGTGTCCTGGTGTGTTGACGCTGTGTGTTGATGTGATATTGTGTCCTGGTGTGTTGATGCTGTGATATTTGTGTCCTGGTGTGTTGACGCTGTGATATTTGTGTCCTGGTGTGTTGACGCTGTGATATTTGTGTCCTGGTGTGTTGACGCTGTGATATTTGTGTCCTGGTGTGTTGACGCTGTGATATTTGTGTCCTGGTGTGTTGATGCTGTGATACTTGTGTCCTGGTGTGTTGACGCTGTGATATTTGTGTCCTGGTGTGTTGACGCTGTGATATTTGTGTCCTGGTGTGTTGATGCTGTGGTATTTGTGTCCTGGTGTGTTGATGCTGTGATACTTGTGTCCTGGTGTGTTGACGCTGTGATATTTGTGTCCGTGTTTACGCTGTGATATTTGTGTCCTGGTGTGTTGACGCTGTGATATTTGTGTCCTGGTGTGTTGATGCTGTGATACTTGTGTCCTGGTGTGTTGACGCTGTGATACTTGTGTCCTGGTGTGTTGATGCTGTGATATTTGTGTCCTGGTGTGTTGACGCTGTGATACTTGTGTCCTGGTGTGTTGATGCTGTGATACTTGTGTCCTGGTGTGTTGATGCTGTGATATTTGTGTCCTGGTGTGTTGATGCTGTGGTATTTGTGTCCTGGTGTGTTGATGCTGTGATACTTGTGTCCTGGTGTGTTGACGCTGTGATATTTGTGTCCGGGTGTGTTGATACTTGTGTCCTGGTGTGTTGAAGCTGTGATATTTGTGTCCTGGTGTGTTGATGCTGTGATATTTGTGTCCTGGTGTGTTGATGCTGTGATACTTGTGTCCTGGTGTGTTGACGCTGTGATACTTGTGTCCTGGTGTGTTGATGCTGTGATATTTGTGTCCTGGTGTGTTGACGCTGTGATACTTGTGTCCTGGTGTGTTGACGCTGTGATATTTGTGTCCTGGTGTGTTGACGCTGTGATATTTGTGTCCTGGTGTGTTGACGCTGTGATATTTGTGTCCTGGTGTGTTGACGCTGTGATATTTGTGTCCTGGTGTGTTGACGCTGTGATATTTGTGTCCTGGTGTGTTGACGCTGTGATATTTGTGTCCTGGTGTGTTGACGCTGTGATATTTGTGTCCTGGTGTGTTGACGCTGTGATATTTGTGTCCTGGTGTGTTGACGTTGTGATATTTGTGTCCTGGTGTGTTGACGCTGTGATACTTGTGTCCTGGTGTGTTGACGCTGTGATATTTGTGTCCTGGTGTGTTGACGCTGTGATACTTGTGTCCTGGTGTGTTGACGCTGTGATACTTGTGTCCTGGTGTGTTGATGCTGTGATATTTGTGTCCTGGTGTGTTGATGCTGTGGTATTTGTGTCCTGGTGTGTTGACGCTGTGATACTTGTGTTCTGGTGTGTTGACGCTGTGATACTTGTGTCCTGGTGTGTTGACGCTGTGATATTTGTGTCCTGGTGTGTTGACGCTGTGATATTTGTGTCCTGTGATATTTGTGTCCTGGTGTGTTGATATGATATTTGTGTCCTGGTGTGTTGATGCAGTGGTATTTGTGTCCTGGTGTGTTGACGCTGTGATATTTGTGTCCTGGTGTGTTGACGCTGTGATATTTGTGTCCTGGTGTGTTGACGCTGTGATATTTGTGTCCTGGTGTGTTGATGCTGTGATATTTGTGTCCTGGTGTGTTGATGCAGTGGTATTTGTGTCCTGGTGTGTTGACGCTGTGATATTTGTGTGTTGACGCTGTGATATTTGTGTCCTGGTGTGTGTGATATTTGTGTCTGTGTGTTATTTGTGTCCTGGTGTGTTGATGCTGTGATATTTGTGTCCTGGTGTGTTGACGCTGTGATATTTGTGTCCTGGTGTGTTGACGCTGTGATATTTGTGTCCTGGTGTGTTGACGCTGTGATACTTGTGTCCTGGTGTGTTGACGCTGTGATATTTGTGTACTGGTGTGTTGACGCTGTGATATTTGTGTCCTGGTGTGTTGATGCTGTGATACTTGTGTCCTGGTGTGTTGACGCTGTGATACTTGTGTCCTGGTGTGTTGACGCTGTGATACTTGTGTCCTGGTGTGTTGACGCTGTGATACTTGTGTCCTGGTGTGTTGACGCTGTGATATTTGTGTCCTGGTGTGTTGACGCTGTGATATTTGTGTCCTGGTGTGTTGATGCTGTGATACTTGTGTCCTGATGTGTTGATTTGATAAGCTAATGCTTGAGTTTCGGTAAATATTTCCGGTTGGAATGCTTAAATTTACAGTAGTGATGTTTTCCCTTACTTTTTACAGAGGTCCAGGGCACTGCTTAGAAAAGGAAGATTTTGTATATGATAGTAGAGAGTTTGACAGTCATGTTAGTACCATGCTCGGCCAGAAATACAATCCGAACGAACAATGCGCTTTAAATCTGGGTTACCCGTCATATTACGCCTGGGTGAGTAGTCTTGTAATCTATTGATATACTACAGTATTATCAACAAATAGGGTTAACAACTTATTCGAGTGATATGTTAGATAGCATGATTATATGTATGCACGTCTCTTTCATCATTTGTAGCTCATATCAACTTTTGTCCTTCAAAACTATTTATCTGTCAGAGAGGAAATCTACCGTAACTGTTAGTGAGGGAATCTACCGAACTGTAAGATAGGAATTCTACCGTAACTGTTAGAGAGGAAATCTACCGTAACTGTTAGAGAGGAAATCTACCGTAACTGTTAGAGAGGAAATCTACCGTAACTGTTAGTGAGTAACTGTTAGAGAGGAAATCTACCGTAACTGTTAGAGAGGAAATCTACCGTAACTGTTAGTGAGGAATTCTACCGTAACTGTTAGAGAGGAAATCTACCGTAACTGTTAGAGAGGAAATCTACCGTAACTGTTAGAGAGGGAATCTACCGTAACTGTAAGATAAGAAATCTACTGTAACTGACAGTGCGGAATTCTATTGAACCAATCATTGAGAAAGTTCACAATATTGTAACCTGTCCGTTAATGTTCTGTATCTTATATAATGTTATTGATTTGTCCTTTTTTGTAAGTGTTCCTCGTTCGTTACAGGGCGGCAGACTGGGAGAACCACACGATATATGTACCAGTATGGCGTGTAAAAATCGACTTAGTAGTGAAAGTTTCAACATATTTAACGCTTATAGAGGAACATCTTGCGGTGATAAAAGGGTAAGTTGTCATGTAAAAGAACCCATCTCGTTTGATTACCTCTCTTACAATTGTATTCATCTCCCTATTGTTGTATTCATCTCCTATAGTTGTATTCATCTCTCCTATAGTTGTATTCATCTCTCCTATAGTTGTGTTCATCTCCCCTATAGTTGTATTCATCTCCCCTATAGTTGTATTCATCTCTCTGGTAACTGAATTGTGTAAAAGAACTCATATCTCTTGTGACCCTACTCGTCTCTCTCGCAAAATACCTCACCTTTTTGTGATAGAATCTGTCTCTTTAAATATCGTCTCTCTTGGAATGGCACCAATCATATGTGTTTTACCGACGTGTTATGATGTTTTAATTATGTCGAATGAAATATAACTACATATTGGGCACAGCTACTCAAATGATATAACTATAAGTCATTGCAACACACGTGACGCTGGCATGCTTTAATTTAGATCATGTTTCAATGGTTTTTTCAATGAACAGGCAGTCATATTAACAAAACAAAAGTGTATTGAGCGGTTGTCTGTCCCAAGATCGGAACACACTGATTCTCAAACCTTAACAATAGCAGTTGGCACGATAACCAGCTGTGATGTTTTCTCTGCGAAACCAGTGCTCTCTAATTGGTCAAAACTGAGTGAAAATAAAGTTTGTACGTTCACTTTGAGAGAAAATCACTGTATGTTCTTCAACTTAAAGTAAAACCTTATCGTTCACTACTGAAAACGTGATATAGATAAGCGAGGTAACCACTGTTGTTAAGGAGTAACTGTCGCCATCTTGGATACAGCTTATCTTTAAATGTCAATAATTACCAATAATGCGGATATTTGCCGAACTGATATTGTTTCTACACTCTTATCCATACTAAGTATACATATACTTTTCAAGATAACTTTTCAAAACCAAACCAGTCGTTGAAAAGAAAGAATTAAAATAGATATGAAAAAGAAAAAAGTGAGAAAAAAAATTATAGACTATTACGAAATATATTACAGAGAATGACAAAATGCATAGGAAGAAAGACAAGAAGTTTTCAATTTGTTTCACTTAAATACAAGTATCCCCCCAAGAAAATACGCTAATCTCTTCATTTTGTAGTAATCAAATTTATTTATCTTAACTGTCACCCTCGTTGTTGTTGTTGTTTTTTTTATAGATATGCGTGTTGTTTCTTTCGTGTCAGTGCATATCTGATGTCAGTGTGAATGATCATTATGATGAGTGGAAGCCCTCCTGCGCGAGGACATGTGTTGTTATAAGTATATATATACTATGTCCTTTGTCAATAAAAAAGATTGGAGAATATAGAAATATTATAGATATATGATAGGTCTCATGGCATGTTGTTTAATTTTGGTATTCCAGATTGTATTACCTCTAAAACATCATCTTTATTCATATTTTCAAATCTCTGTAATGTTTTCCCATTTTTTATCAGCCTTTTCTCCTTTCTAAAATAACACACGGTATTAATTTAAAGCACAAAATCACAAATGCATTTCTTTTATTGTAAAAGTCCATTTACCATAACTCTAACTAACTGTTTTCTATGCCCAACTCCAAGAGACATTTGAAATTACTGATTACAACCATAGAATAAAAACAGTAGCTCAAAGATCTACAATTTATACAACTTTGGTTTGAGTTATCTCCCTTGTGACATAAACATGGATACTCCATCGGCGATTTCACCGTATAACAGTCCAATTATGTGATAAAACCTTTATCACACACAATGTACTTAGACTTGAATATATATTGTTTATTTGAATCAGCTTAAAAATAGTGAATAGAACATTTTTTGGAAAAATATGTCCATCTCAAAAAAGACATTTACCGAAAAAAAATTCTGGTTGGCAGTTCCTTCCTTCGTCTTATTTGATGGTAAGATTTGTATCTTCAGACTTTTGGAATATCTGAAGGAACACACTGTATCTCATTTGTAGCTATTTTATGTGAGACAGAGTTTATCGGAGAGTTCATCAACGCTAATGACAAATAACTTGCGAAGTCCTTCTATTTCACTTTCAGACATATTTATAATGTTCTGTTATTACATAACGAGATCTATTGACCTCGTCCAATCTTTATACTTACCACAATTAGAAATCAAGCACACGGCAGGCATTGGCCTCTTACCATGGTCTTTTGCTACAAGAAAATCAACAAGGACAGTTTTTTGTCAAGCTCTGTGATAAACGTGATGATCTCATTTTCTACAATGTAAATTTTCCATTTTTTCTAGAGCAACATTCCATCTTCTTCAACATAATATAAGGTTTACAAGTAGACGTTGAACCTGCTGGTTCCATTTTTGATAACCGTGTTTGATGATCGTTAGTATACTGTTGGTTCCGCTGTTGTTTATCGTGTTTGATGCTCATTAGTATACCTGTTGGTTCCGTTGCTGTTTGCAGTGTTTGATGCTCGTTAGTATACCTGTTGGTTCCGTTGCTGTTTTATCGTGTTTGATGTTCGTTAGTATACCTGTTGGTTCCGTTGTTTTTTGCAGTGTTTGATGTTCGTTAGTATACCTGTGGGTTCCGTTGTTGTTTATTGTGTTTTATGTTCGTTAGTATACCTGTTGGTTCCGCTGTTGTTTACAGTGTTTAATGTTCGTTAGTATACTGTTGGTTCCATTACTGTTTGCAGTGTTTGATGCTCGTTAGTATACCTGTTGGTTCCGTTGCGGTTTGCAGTGGTTGATGCTCGTTAGTATACCTGTTGGTTCCGTTGCGGTTTGCAGTGTTTGATGCTCGTTAGTATACCTGTAGGTTCCGTTGCGGTTTGCAGTGTTTGATGCTCGTTAGTATACCTGTTGGTTCCGTTGTTGTTTATTGTGTTTGATGTTCGTTAGTATACCTGTAGGTTCCGTTGCTGTTTGCAGTGTTTGATGCTCGTTAGTATACCTGTTGGTTCCGTTGCTGTTTGCAGTGTTTTCGTGTGTAAACGTCACATTACGTACTTAGAGTGACCACTTAATATGACCATTTTGTCCGGATGAGACTGAGTAGGTGTAAATAGTTCTTTGTTTAAATTCAGCCTTTTTCTATGTACTTTGAGTTTGTATTAAAGTTTTGTTGACACAGTGGTAGTTTCTTTGTTTTTGTCTTAAGTAGACAGAAAAATTCAAAATAAATGGTATAAAATTGTGTCACACACAATGTTCTTAAGCTTGAAGTGTTTTTAAGTTCCTGTATCAAGAGTAATTCTCACAGGGATCAGCATGGAATATCGCCCTGGTTTACTCTTTACCCTTTTGTCGTACATATCTTCTAATTTTTCCTTGTAGTGGTGTATCGATGGCGTTTGTAGAAGCTCTGAGTTTGCTCCGGGCAAAAATGGTGAGAAAATACGAAAATTGTACATTACAGATTAACATGTCTGTTATCGGATCCTGGATTCCGTTCAAAGCTCTGTTATATCTAACAAATATTTTATACAACGAGGGATCACTTGTCCTTTAGGGTATAATGACAACTGTTTACTGTTTATCTAAGTGTAATTTGAAAATGTTTTGACATCAATCCTAGATATCAGAAATAACGGATCAGCTTAACTGAGTATTTGTCAAATATCAGGCGTTCATAAGATCAATTAATTAGATGCAAATAAATATATGAAATTTTATATTTTTCATATTGTAAACATTTTTTGTCAAGCTGTCGTTTTCGTCATTAAAAGGATTAATAAAAACTGTCATTGTGTTCTGTGTTTCTGTAGAGTCCTCTCTAACAAGTGTGTATCTGTGATTTTTCTTTACCAGATGTGTGTGTTCATGGGGATTCGCGAAGGATGTTTGGACCCAAACGCAATTTGTCATGTAAAGATTTCCTGGTGTCCCAGCCTTTCCGATGTTACGACCCGTATTACACGATGTTCTGTTGTAGCACGTGTGCTAGTCTAAAAACAAACACTGTCGGTAGGTCCACGTGACATTGATTGGTTTAATCGATAGATCGATTAATCAATGAATAGCAAAAGTAGGAATATGGTCTTTTTACATATCTAAAGTGAAATCAAAGTCATACTTTGATGTGACATTTGCTGACTACTATATCAGGGCCTCTTCGTGTATGTTCATATGATAAAGTTTTTAGAGTTAAATAAACGCATCATTCTTCTTTACATTCGATTCAAAATTGGGTATATAATTTATTAATGTGGCTATATATAGAATCCACTGACGTCATAATGACGTGCCGTTTATCGTTTACACATTTCAGGTTGTGAATACGGAGATAAAAATACAACAGAGTGCGCCATGCTGGAGTCACGGAAAGATTTGTGCTATATTGAAGCGAATGCTGCCTTGTGTTGCAGCACATGCGCAAAGCATTTCACTGGTGTATCAGGTAATAATGGTTTTTGTGTAAATTGTAAAGTTACAAAATTCCTTATCAAAGCTATGGTATGATATATGGTGTCAACATAATATCGTTATCGTTTAATTTCACCTTCGGATATATTGATGACGTCTTGTCTTTAGATAACAAGAAGTTTAGTGACTACGTCCATCGTATATATCTACCAGAACTTTAAATAAAAAATACGACTGACTCTTCTACATTAGCTGCTTATCCCAATCTTTTCCTACAACGAAACCAACATGGGCAGTTGTCCACCAAGTAGTATGATAACCGTGACGATTTGAATTTCCCTATTGTTAATTTCCGTTTCTGGATAGCAATATCCCTGCAACTCCAACCTATGGCGTTTACAAGTCACAGATAATTCGATATTCGAGCACCTGTTGTTATTATCACGTTTTTCGTGCAAGAAGTCGTCAACTGACTGACAAACTCATAATACTTCAGTTCAAAGCAGACTCATGAAAATTATGGGGAAGTTTTATGGTCGCCATAGTGATCTCATTGAGAAATAAACTTTTTGTGCGACATGGAGCTGGACGTTAGTTTGCCTGTTAGTTCCGTTCTTGTATACCTTGTCCTCATTTAAGAACGTGATATTACTTACTTGGATTGACCAATGTTTACATGGCGGGTGTCGTCAATGAAGCAGAAGACGCTTATTATTCCGGAACGTCTTGTCTGGTCTTACCCTCATTGCACTTATTCAGGTTTCTCCGTGTAAACCTTTCTTTTGCTTGCCCTAGTTTTATGGAATTAGAGTTTGTTTTATGATTAAGTAGCCATGTTAGTATTTTCTTGATTTTTTATGAGCATAAAGACTAATGAGCAATTTCATTGATATCCTAGAAAGCCATATTATTATTTCTTTGAGGGAAAGTTCGACCTAGCGAAGAGAAAACCCATATTCCCCCAACACCACCCCATTAAAAAAAAAAGAAAAATAAAGAAAACTGCATATTCGCATACTTTATCTTGACCTATATATATATATATAAACTGACATTAACAATCTATGTTTTGAGAACAACTTGGTATTGAATCTTTTCCTACAGGCTGTGAATATGGAGATCGATACAGATTGTGTAATCCCAGCGACTGCAGCACACCAGAGAATGCCAAATTTTGCTGTGAAACATGTGGGGTATTAGGTTCTACAAGAGACCGACCAGTATCGCGTCAGGTGACAACGCAGCGAACAACGACGGTTCGACCTGTCTTTACTGCTCGTCCGCCTGCAACACGCCCACCTAAAACGAAAACGCCAAGAGACAATTTTAGGACGAAGAAAAGAAATAATCGACGTCGCCAATTTCCATCCATTAAATCTAAAAACAAAGGGCAAATAGAACCCGTTTTGGAATGCGTTAAAAAAAATACAACATTTTTCCAAGCTTCATGTACTTGGCTAGATACGTGGCTAAGAGGAATCTGTAAAAATAGCCTCTTCAGGTCAACATGTTGTGAACCATGTACAACGGCCATAAAAACGGTTAAATCACCACTTACTAAAGTTTCAAACAAAAGCAAGTTTCCTCTCTCAAAGAGTATTCCGCCATTGCAACCATCTAAAAGCAAGGAGGCAGTATTAAAGGAGACTAAATCAGGTGAGAATACCTAAAGGCTTATTGTAGAAGTTGTCTTCATCACTCACCTCCACGTTCTTACAGGTTGTCAACAGAAACATCCAGACATCAATTTCACTTAATTTGTTTAAATTTGAATTTTGATCAAGATCCTTTTGCCATGTCGCTATGTTGTTATTGTTGTTAACTATCAGTATTTCGTTGTTTACTATCAGTATTTCTTTGTTAACTATCAGTATGTAGTTGTTTACTATCTGTATTTCGTTGTTTACTATCTATATTTAGTTGTTTACTATCTATATTTAGTTGTTTACTATCTATATTTAGTTGTTAACTATCTATATTTCGTTGTTTACTATCTGTAGGTCGTTGTTTACTATCTATATTTCATTGTTTACTATCAGTATTTCGTTGTTTACTATCTGTAGGTCGTTGTTTACTATCAGTATTTCGTTGTTAACTATCTATATTTCGTTGTTTACTATCTATATTTGTTTACTATCTATATTTCGTTGTTTACTATCAGTATTTCGTTGTTTACTATCTGTAGGTCGTTGTTTACTATCTGTAGGTCGTTGTTTACTATCTATAATTAGTTGTTTACTATCTATTTTTCGTTGTTTACTATCAGTATTTCGTTGTTTACTATCTGTAGGTCGTTGTTTACTATCTGTAGGTCGTTGTTTACTATCTATATTTCGTTGTTTACTATCTATATTTAGTTGTTTACTATCTATATTTCGTTGTTTACTATCAGTATTTCGTTGTTTACTATCTGTAGGTCGCTGTTTACTATCTGTAGGTCGTTATTTACTATCTGTAGGTCGTTGTTTACTATCAGTATGTCGTTGTTTACTATCTATATTTAGTTGTTTACTATCTGTATTTCGTTGTTTACTATCAGTATTTCGTTGTTTACTATCAGTATTTCGTTGTTTACTATCAGTATTTCGTTGTTTACTATCAGTATTTCGTTGTTTACTATCTGTATTTTGATGTTTAATATCAGCATTTTGTTGTTTACTATCTATATTTAGTTGTTTACTATCTATATTTAGTTGTTTACTATCTGTATTTCGTTGTTTACTATCTGTAGGTCGTTGTTTACTATCTGTAGGTCGTTGTTTACTATCTGTAGGTCGTTGTTTACTATCTATATTTCGTTGTTTACTATCTATATTTAGTTGTTTACTATCTGTATTTCGTTGTTTACTATCAGTATTTCGTTGTTTACTATCAGTATTTCGTTGTTTACTATCTGTATTTTGATGTTTAATATCAGCATTTTGTTGTTTACTATCAGTATTTATGAACTTTATTTATTCTTGTGTGTATTTTCTGTTTACGAAGCCTGTTTCGACAGTGGCCGACACTGTACTGACATCACCGCACGTCAATGTTACACCTTGGCCACCAGGAGCAGATGTTGTGCTACATGTGAATCTCTAAGATCGGACATACCAGGTAATTACTCTGAACTAAAAACGAGTACTTCGGGACGTGTTAGCCCACCTTGCCAGGACGGCCTGGTGACTGTAGTCGTACTGCGACATCCGTCTGTCAACATTCAGACGTAACTAGTTTACAAGGCCTAATTGAATTTGCCCAACGGAGGAGTACCATTTCAAAAGTTCTAACAAAACAATGCTGGAATAATTTTGTAGATTATTCTTGTGTTTTCTGCTAAATAGGGATCCAGTGTTTTAAGAACTAAATTTTCAATGGCCCATTCCTCTTTGCATTTTGTTTGATTGAAATTCTGAGGAAATACAAAGATGAAGAATACTTATCAAATTATATATATACTAACGGAAAAAAGAAACTGTCAATCACTAAAATTTAATTATCTCGGAAACTACCGAACGTTTCTCAATAAAATTTCATGGGTATATTTATCGTGTCATACCACACGCTATCACGTGATTAGGTCACCTACCGCACGTGCATTTTGCGACCTACCCGGGCAATATGATCAATACCTAATTGGAAGGCAGTACACGTGTCAGTGAATACCTATCGTTATTTTTGTGTCAATATCCCTCTGTGGGTACCATATGAACCAAAAAACATCCTAGTTCCAAGAAAAAGCGATTTCTGATAATGCCACGGTTGACGGAAAATGAGCGTTTGCGGATAATCGGCATGCTTGAGGCAGGAATGACCCAAAATGACATCGCACAGCGTTTCAATGTCCATAGGAATACCATACAGTCTTTAGCAAGACGTTATCGGCAATATGGAATCACTCTTGATAGACCGCGTTTAGGACGTCCGCGTGTGACGTCACATCAACAGGACAATTACATACGGTTAACGCATCTAAGGAATCGTTTCCAAACGGCCAGTTTAACGTCTAGGAACATTCCTGGACTAAGAAATATCCACCCAAGAACCGTCTGTAACCGATTGAGAGAACACCGGCCGCGATCCGCCATACACCTGTATTGCAGCAACGTCATCGCCAAGCAAGATTAGCGTGGTGCCGTAGGCATATCCGATACACCCAACGTGAATGGACGGGTATTTTATTCACGGACGAGTCGAGATTTCTCTTAGACAGCAGTGACGGCCGTAACAGAGTGTATCGCCGTGTTGGAGAACGATTCCAAGATGCCTGTGTCGTAGAACGACGTTCTTTTGGTGGTGGCAGTGTTATGGTCTGGGGAGGGATCACTACCCATCGCAGAACTCCTCTTGTGTTAGTCCAAGGTAATTTGACCGAGATTCAATACAGAGATGCTATCATTCGACATGTTGTGCCCTTCATACGTGCCCAACAACGTCAAGTCACGTTACAGCAAGACAATGCCCGTCCGCATGTTGCTCGTGTTGTTACCGACTACTTAAACCGACAGAACATCAATGTTCTTCCATGGCCAGCCGTCTCGCCAGATTTGGCACCAATCGAGCATGTGTGGGACGAGATGGAACGTCGTCTACGTCAGCTGCCTAATCAGCCAATGACGTTAAATCAACTCGGCCAAGACTTGATCAGAGTGTGGAACAATATTCCCCAGCACTTCTTCGGCACATTAGTTCGCTCCATGAGACGTCGTTGCCAAGCTTGCATTGACGCAAATGGTGGACACACTCGTTATTGACATTGAGAACTCGGTTTTGACCCCATAAGGATTTGAACCCCTGTGAAATGAATTGTTACTCAAATCAATTTGAAAATCCATATTGATTTTGTTGTAATGAAATCAATAAAGCAACATGCAAACTTTTAACCTAATATTATAAGAATTATAGATTTTATAAACGTTTCTCCGGTGCACAGTTTCTTTTTTCCGTTAGTATATATATCAAAGAAGAATATTTGCAGCTTTTGTCTTCATAAATATGTAATTTCTCTTGTAATGAAAGTCTTACTCAGGCTGTCTACCTGGGGTCCTTTTCTCTCCTGGATTAAAATTTCTCTCGGATCAAACAGATCAAAAATGTTGTGATATGATCAATTCTTATTGGACATCAAAACCCTATTATTTCTAACAAAATTATGTCTATTCTACGTTTTGTTTTCAATTGTACTTATTATAATAAGATCAATTTCAACCCACAAATAAAATATTCTCACCAAATTCTGGTTGTCGTGGTTGGATCTAGATATACAAGTAATATCTTTTTAATATTTATTGAAATATGTGTCAGTATTTCAAAACTTGTGGGATTTATGTTTGATTGTCACTTATGGTTTTTTTTTCAGATTGTCCTTTTGGGGATAAGAACAGTCGGTGTGCGCCTACTTTTAAAATGGATCCGGAGTACACATGTACTCAGAAACGCTCACTATGTTGCTACAGTTGCCGTGGTGTGACAACCATGCGTGGAAAGAAGCAGTCTATTCCTGGAGTAAAACCGAGAGGACATTTCCAGACAACCACACCGCGCCCTGCTGGTAGTGCAGCCTCAAGGCACAGTAACTTTAAACCGGTCAAGAGTAGGAGAAGGACGCAGAAAGGAGGACGAGGTCATCGTATTTATGGATCGGAGAGAGCTGCTGGAAGAGATGCAGCAGCCAAACGATTTCTAGAGCGAAGAGAAAGAGAGCGACAGATGAGACGCAGAAATAGATTTGTCTCAAATTTTCGAAACAGAAATCGTGGATAAAGTTTTAAAAGAAGCATTTGATTCTTTGTTCGTGCATTTCAAATCTTAATGCGCCCAACATATGGGTCTATAAGGACTGTAACAAAATTAAATGGAGAAGAATACATCTCACATATCTTGTAAACAACAAATTCTTTGTAAATGTTTTGATAGGATCGTTTTCTGTAATTAACAGAACCAGAAGTTTATATGACTTTTTGTTGCAAAATTAAAATTTCCTTCGAAACTGCTGTTGATTTATCAAATCCTGCAGCCCATCGATGCCACACGAAGCAGTTTAGCGTTATTGTTTGTTTTTTTAGTTAGTTTATTTGTTTATCATTATCGCATTATTGTTTTTATATATTAGTGTATTTTAAATACAGATTTGACTTCAAATGATATTTTTAACGTATATTGGCCACGGGGTTGGGTAAAACGTGTCTTAGCTGAGTTTCGAATCCATAGACATAACAGAGTCCTCGTTAAAACTATACTATACCATAAATTATCGACTGTTTGCTCCTCAGTGCATAAGTAACTAACATAAAGGTAGCAGCTTGCAAGGTAAGGAAAAAGTAGACAATATTTTTTTTAATAACTTCTGAGTCGTTTGGAAGCTTTGTAATACTAGTTCCTTCAAACGCGCAAATGATCTAGTGCATGAATAGCATTTCAGATTAAAGGCGTCCTTTACAGACAAAGGACATTGGAATTAAATAGGAAATATTTCGGCAAGTAAATTATGTACAATAATGTCGCATGGTCAGATCACCTGATTTAGTCAATATGTAATTGGATTACGTGTTAATTATATATAATTAGTATCACTTACATCGAGACACGTATATTTAAGGTCGTGTTGATAGTGCAGCAGTGAATGGAACCAGTTTCCTCTTAGTTTTGAATTTAGTTTTCATTATTCATACGATTTAACTGACCTGTTTATAGTTTTAATACTTCTCGTCGGTTAGGTTTTAATTGGACGTTAACTGACCCGGGCATCACGTGACAAAATATAACTGACAAACGTATATTTTAATACGAAGAATACTAGTATTCTAGTTATTTTTGCCACTTAATGAGTTATTTAACAAAGCCATAATGTGTTGAATCTTTGATGATTCGCAGAGAAGCAATAGCGATATAGATTACTAGTGGTTGTATTTCTAACGTTCTGGAACATCTGGAGTTGAATACTATACTCATCAATCTGTAACAAACACACTTAATCACAAAGCTCGATAAATGATTATTCAGATTTCGTTTTCTTATTTTTGTTAAAAAAATGAACATTCATTACAAACATGAAATGCTGAATGCGTATTTGATTACAACTAGTAAAATTTTAGGTGTGTGGGTTAACTCGTTCAGTAACTTGAAATAGGTTTTAGATACAGAATAGATTTGTGTCATGACCTAGATTCTCTTGAGCAGCTTTGTGCTATGACCAGGTGCTCTTGATTTGCTTTGGGTCATGATCGAGGTTCTCTTGAGTAACTTTGTGCCATGACCATTGTTCTGTAGAGTAGCAGCTTTATGTCTGTGTATTTGTTTGAGGGGGAGGGATGGTGTTAGGTTATGTAAAGAAGCTAGAATAGTTGTGGTTTAGCCTAGAATCTACAGTATAGTTGTGTGTCACAACATACCACATTTATATTAAATCTATATCTAAATATACAAGCTTCTGATGCTGATTGATGAAATGCTGATCTTGCTTGCGACTGACATGGTTAATAAATAACGAGGAGACGAAAGGTGAAATACGGACAACGGTCGACGATCAATGAACTCCTAATGTACTCCTTATTTAAAATAACGACGTCGTACAATCATATACACGTGATTCCTGACCCTGATAGCTAGAAGAATATCGACAGAATTGCAAGACAGCGAACAATTAAAATACACAAACGATATTATCATATAAATAAGTTTTTGAAATAGAAATAAAAAAACTGTCGACGGCAATTACAATGTATAGCAAAACGCGATAGATGAAAATAAAACATATTCCAAACAAACAAACAAAACGATAAAAAAAAACCACGAAATTTCTTTTACTGTATTATCATAAGCATTTTAAATGTTATAAAGTCAATGTAAAATGTTCACAGATGCTTTTGAACAAAGCTTCATTTTGACAACGCGTCATTGCCAAATAAATGCCTTATTTTTATTTCCAATCAACAAACCACAGGGGACCATTTACAAAATGGATAACAAAAGTTCAACTTAAGTTTAACATCACAGTCATGTAACACAGACTAAAAGAAACGTGTAAAGTTAATGGAAGTAGCGAGTAGTGATAGAAAATATCATTTAACCTTACTTAAAACTCTGTTAGGGATAAATGAAATATATCTCAGTCAGACGCAAGACCAAGGAAGATAAAGTGATTTTCGTTTAAAACACTCTGTAACGTTTATTCTACTTCCCTGAAAGTAAAACTGATCTGCACGAATTGATCGTAAATTACGACCAAATGGTTGACCAAATATGGACGATCAAAAGCATTATTGACGCATTTGTGAAGAAACACACAGTCCAAAAGATGCCCGCCTCCAAATTAGAAAGATTCATATACCTACAAGGCATTGAGTTAGTTCAGCATATGCCTTCAAATATTGTTTTTTTACTTCAAGAAAATTACGCTGGACAATTTCCACTTTGTGTATTAAGATGTTTGGTAAGGAGACCAGGTCTGACAACAGTATTCTAACTCATGACAAGACGCATACGTAAGGATATTAAGACTGATATTTGTATAAAACTTTTACATGCACGACAATAAAAACGGACATTGGCATTGATTTGGCAAACATTGTGAAGAGGGCAACCAAACTGCAAGATCTTTCACACACAATTGACTTATTTACACACTATGCTACACATCTGGAACATTATTACCAGTGTAGTTTAATGAGTTGTGGGTAAGTGTACCCGTGTTGGTCTACAGTGCTCATTTTACCTTTGGCGTACAGATAAATTTCAACAACTCTACTCTTCTCTGTTCATCATTTTGACGAGACTTGCGTTGAATTTCTTTATCAATGAAAATCTTTGTCAATATCTCTAGAAAGGATGAATTCAGTCACTAAATCTAACATGTCTTTTCTCTCTTCACCTAGGTCACCCTCGATACTCCGGGTCTGATCACTTTCTGCACCCCCTGGAACATTTAATGGCAAAAATGAAAATTAATCTAACATGTCTTTTCTCTCTTCACCTAGGTCACCCTCGATACTCCGGGTCTGATCACTTTCTGCACCCCCTGGAACATTTAATGGCAAAAATGAAAATTAATCTAACATGTCTTTTCTCTCTTCACCTAGGTCACCCTCGTCATCACTTTCTGCACCCCCTGGAACATTTAATTGCAAATATGAAAATTAATCTAACATGTCTTTTCTCTCTTCACCTAGGTCACCCTGATCACCTAGGTCACCCTTTCTGCACCCCCTGGAACATTTAATGGCAAAAATGAAAATTAATCTAACATGTCTTTTCTCTCTTCACCTAGGTCACCCTCGATACTCCGGGTCTGATCACTTTCTGCACCCCCTGGAACATTTAATGGCAAAAATGAAAATTAATCTAACATGTCTTTTCTCTCTTCACCTAGGTCACCCTCGATACTCCGGGTCTGATCACTTTCTGCACCCCCTGGAACATTTAATGGCAAAAATGAAAATTAATCTAACATGTCTTTTCTCTCTTCACCTAGGTCACCCTCGATACTCCGGGTCTGATCACTTTCTGCACCCCCTGGAACATTTAATGGCAAAAATGAAAATTAATCTAACATGTCTTTTCTCTCTTCACCTAGGTCACCCTCGATACTCCGGCAAAAATCTTATCACTTTCTCTCTCTTCACCTAGCACCCCCTCCGGGTGGAACATTTAATGGCAAAAATGAAAATTAATCTAACATGTCTTTTCTCTCTTCACCTAGGTCACCCTCGATACTCCGGGTAATGGCAAAAATGAAAATTAATCACATTCTCTCTCTTCACCTAGGTCACCCCCTGGAACATTTAATGGCAAAAATGAAAATTAATCTAACATGTCTTTTCTCTCTTCACCTAGGTCACCCTCGATACTCCGGGTCTGATCACTTTCTGCACCCCCTGGAACATTTAATGGCAAAAATGAAAATTAATCTAACATGTCTTTTCTCTCTTCACCTAGGTCACCCTCGATACTGGGAACATTTACATTTAATGGCAAAAATGAAAATTCTATAGACTAAAGATCTTATTTGGTATAAAAGAAACTAAAATATACAACAGACATATTTATAATGCAGGATTAATATGTAAATCATATCAACGCAGCTTATTTAAATATGTCAGACAATTCAAGCACACATGGAAGAAATCAAGAATTGTAACGATATCAGAATATTAAGGTTATCATCAAGCTTCAAAGTTAGTAAAGCAAACATGTACCACCGAGGTCACGTGACCCATCGCCGTTCAAACCAGGAAAATTATATCGTTATGGACACACAGGACGGGGTATAATAAGAGAAGGTCAGGGATTCATTTGTTCATGTTGATATTTGTGCATAGTAATTGATCTCAACACACACACACACACACACACACACACACACACACCCCATCCAGACCAGTGCAATTGCTCAAACGAATGGTTTTACAATATCTAAGAGGCGCCGCTTAAATAAATTGTTCCACAATATTAAAAAAAACATCACAAGTAAATTGTTCAATAAGTCCAAAAATGATTTTTTTTCTCATAGAAGCATTACTTAAATAAGTTGTTTAAAAAACTTGGATACATCAATCAGTGGTAGGCATTATTCAAATGAATTGGCTTACACACTGTAAGCGCACACCTCATATACAGTGTTCTACAGTCTCAAAACGGCTTCACTCATAGAATTACTCTATAATGTCAAAATGGGAGTATTCACATGGATTTTTTATTGCTAATTTTGAAATATGATTTAATGGCAAATATAGAATAAATATTCGTTATTGTTTTAAATTTGCATC